TTTGCCACTGGGATCCTCTTCATCTTAAGGATGCTTCACAGATGTGTTTGGGTTGGTTATTATGCTGGAATCCTGCTCTACGGCCCAGTTTCTAAAAGGAGAGGGTTCATGCTCCACTTTAGCACGTCACAGTAAACATTAGCATTCACAGTCTCCTCAGTGAGCTGTAGCAGCCTTAGCCAGCACCTAACAGTTAAATAATATCTCATGTTTTGTTATGCTTTGGAAAAACACAGATATGCATATTGTGCTAACTTGCGGAACATCACTCAATTCTCTTAGGACGCTAACGCTTCTTTAGAGCTGCTTGTGTTACGCAACAAGTGGAATGTCTGCTGAATGGCTGTTTGCAGGTTCAACATAAGCAGATATTAGCTGCTTGGGCCTCTGTTATTCCATTACAAACTTATTGTATCTAGTAAGGTTAGATGACCATATTTTGGTTGGCTTTTTTAAATTCACTTGTTTTTGAAGAATTTCTTAATACTACATATTCTTTCCATGCAGTAGACAAAAATCAAGATTCTGTTTTTGCATCTTGCGTGGATATGTTTACATTTTATTTGTGTGATGTTTGTGGTACATATCAGGCACTGCTATCTTGGGGGTGGTGGTTTTGGTCTCTGAGCTTTTGTCAGTCTAAACTGTCTGCACTATTGTTCGATCTGCCCTTTTCCTGCACAGCCTTACAGTGCAGAGTTTGGTCCTCGCTGCTGCTGAGACAGACTGCGGCTAAGAGTACATGCACATCCTGTGCTGCTTGAAATGAGACTTCCTGCTTTCCTGTTTCTCAGCCTCCTACACCTGGGCTTATGCAGCGTTCCTGATGAGGCAGTTATCCCTCAAGAACAAACACTGCATTAACAAAGAATGGTACATAATAAAGGTGGGATACTGGATTGAACCCTTTTGGTTAAACAGTTAAGCAATTAGGGTTAGGAAATTAGAAATTAGGATCCCATCTCGTTTGGACTTGATCGAAGAACACCGTTTTATTTAATGGTTTATAGTTTATCATTTGCTTTGAAGCTTTGGACAATACCAATATATATATTTTTTTTTACAAAAACCACAAAACAGATTAAAGTATTTTTTTTATGGTTTATAAACTCTTGACAGATGTATCTGCTATTTCCCCAAACACAATAACAGTCCTTCCCCTTCAGCCCACCACCAGCCAATCCCTTCCCTTGTGTCTGTTTATGCTGACAACCTGCCCATGTGACTGCAGCCCGCCAGCTGGTTGGTTGCTGTGGGAGGTGACATCACTAGCTTGCTGGTTCCCTCCAGCAGCAGGGGAGCTTCATTTTCTGCTCAGCTTTCGTGCTAAAATGGAGGCTGGCTCCTCGCCTTAGCCTGGGCTGCCCCGCTCTCCCCTGCCTCTTGCCTCAGCTCACTAATGTTGGCATGCACTAGCACTGCCACTGGGATGGTTGTGGACACACCGAGCTCAAATGGGCCTTTCCAGCCTACGGCCCTGATGCATTTTAGAGGTGAGAATAGGAAATCTGCTTTTTATCAGTTTTTTTTTTTTTTTTTTTTTCATGAGGATTTACAGCTTAAAGCTGTTTCATACTTTCATTCTATAAAATCTCCAGTTTCTGGATCTGCTTGATTTTAGTGCAGAGTCTCACAGCATTTGTAGTTTGTATCTTTTGTCTGCAGAAGTGCCTGGAGGAGGAAGCAGGTGATAGTGTTTGTATACCAACAAGCAAGGCTTTGGCCAAGACGTTAAATGGCTCGTTTCAGTCAGTGACGGAGGGTGAGAGTGAAAGAGTAATAGTTTGCGTATCACTCCCCTCCCCCCATCTTTACTATTGATGTAACATGTAGGAAGTGAGGTCAAGGCTTGTTTTCAGATTGTGTCTTTCTATAGGGTTTTGTATATCTGCTGTAATCTGACACTCACAGGTTGACGGCGTGTTTTTGCTGTACTTTTAGTGGGCTTAGTAACTGCAACTGTATTAAACAGAACATCTAAAACAGAAACTGTATTCTTTCTGCAGCCCTAGTTTCTTTCCATCCTGATAAGAGATCAGGGAACATTTAAGTTAAGTCTACTCCTGATATTTCTAAGCATAAAAGCCCCCTCTTCTACAATTAGCTCATGTTAGCATTTAAAAACAAAGCTGTTTTGGTAATAAATCAGTGGTGGTGCTTTTGTTATTAGTAGTTTATTTGAGATGATTCTGAGCAGTTTCTGTTTACAACTGACTCTCTGTCTGCTAGGTGGGGTCTTTAGAAGAGTAAAGGTTATGTTCCTGTCCATGCAGTGTCGCTTGTGTGAAGTCTGCAGTTGCACAGCATGTCTCTTAATATTTTAGGAGTGTTCAGAAACCCTAGTGCTGTTGTGTAAGGGGAGCTGATAGATGTGGGACTGGGCGTTATGTTGGACGAGCTGCTGAAAAACCGTTTATAAAAGTAAACATGAAGCCTTTTCATACATGTGTTACCAGTCTGGAAGAGAATACATTTAAAAGCATTGGTTGTATTTTCTGTTTTGCATAAATAAATAGTAACTGAATCCTGTTTGACTTTTTTATGTATCAGAGATAAAAGTTTATGCAAGAATTTGATGGTAGTTGATGTGAAAACTGGTAAGTTAGTGAATATATAGAATATTTTTAAGTATATAACGCATTCTCCAGTTTGCTGTTTTGCTGCATATTTACTAAACTCAAGGTTTTTCCAGTTTCAGCAACCTGGGTGTGACCTTACATGACGTTTAGCTCTATGTCTAATTAAACAGCATAGGTACGTAGATCCTTAGCATTCATTTCTTATGTCAGTGAAAAGCCTTTAATGCTTTTTCTCCAGCAGTTCACTGTAACAGTGGTTGCTGAAACTGACAGGCGACGCACTCTCTAGCCTTTTATCCCACACTGTGGTTAGATGAATCCTGTTTGTTGCTGGTAGCTGTGCTGCTGACTTGTTTCTAGTTTCTAGATTGTTCTCTTCTTCAACTCAAACTCTTGTGTTTATCTCTATAAATTGCTACACAAGCAACATGATGCCTAGAAATACTCAGGAGAAATACATATTAATTAATTTGTTCTAAGAAATATTTGATCTAGTCAGTAAGCAGTAATTCTACATTATTTGCATCCATTGTTAACAAGCAATAACACAGTTGGGGAATGTTTTGTAAAGTTAATAAAATACGATAAGTATTTCACCACTACTCCTTTGTGTTCTTCTGTGGACGTCTCATATGTCATCTCTCACTTAAAGGTTAAGAGACTCTTTATCATTAAGGTTCCATATTCACATCATTCATTTGGGCAGCGTTAGCTACATAATTAAATGATTACTTTTATGAATACTTATCTTGTGCTCAGCACCCAAAATCAAAGGATGATGTTGACTAAGGAAATGAAACCAGAGCTAAATCTAGTCTCTAGCAAGTCATCAATGATGGGAAATTGCAAATATTAAAGTCTGAAGCGTCATTTCCTAAAACTGACTCATTTGATTATTGCTAAGACTTTTTGTTGTAGTTTTTTTGACTGGAATCCCTCATAGTCCTGGTTTCCTTTCCATTTGATAGTTGGAGATGCATTTTACAGCATCTCCAAACTGCACTAATACATTGTAAAACTTGCTGCTAGTATTTAGTACATTGGTGAATTGCTTCTCTAATTTATAAATAGAAATGGTATGAAAATGACTTGCTTTAAAGAAAAAATAGAACCGCTTACTTCATCTGATTGCGTCAGCAAGTCAGTGGCCGATGATAGGAGTGTAAGATAGCCCTAGCCAAAATATGTCTGATTGCATGTGGTCACCCATTGGGCCAAAGTGTCGGCTCCTTTTGCGGTCACCATGGTGATAAATTCTAGTCATGCAGCCGTTTTAAGGAGGAACTGAGTCATAAACAAAAGGCTGTGATGAAGTGGTTAACACGGCCTTACGGACAGGTTTCACACACTGATTTTTTAGGGTTTTTATCTCCCTGTTGAAGCCAAATGAATTGGTACGTATTTTGTTATGTGGTAGAATTTTTAGCTTGTAAATCATTTAAACTAAGGCAGATCTTTAGCGTTTCTTGACTTTATCTGAGCATTTATCTTTTACTACAAACATTTAATTACCATGCAAATGAAAATGCATTTCTTATGTGCATAGAGTGTGTAAATCCCAGCCTTAAGTTATGTGCTTTAAAAGCCAAATTGTTTTGCGACAGCAACAGAATGTTTGTGCTCCTAACTACAAGCGTGAAAAGAGATTTTTGTGTTGCATGTAATTGGTGATTTAGGAAGAGCTGTGTGTGACTGCTGTCTTTTGAAGATTGTTTTTCCTCCAAAAGAGCTCCAAGTTAGTCCAGTTACCACACAAGACTCAGCGTTCTGAGTACAGCTAAAGGGGGAAAGGTACATTAGAGCAGCTTTAAACATGTCTGAATAGGTGGATAATGCCGTTAGCTTCTTTTTTATCTGTGTTTTTCACCACTGTTGAGACTCTTGCCTGGCTTTTTCCTCTAATGTAAGATGCTGTTGCAATTGATGACTTTGAAAGCTGTATAGGTCCCCTGGGAACAGAAAATAGTCCCAGTTTGCTGCCCAGAATGGAGCTCAGCTCAGTTTGATGAGCTTTTTTATAAACTCTGAAATGTTTGTTTTAGACTGGCGGTTAATTATGATAATTATAAGCCACGGACAGGTGTGGCCTCATATTTCCCATGGATGGTTTTGATCCTCTGCATCATTAATGTGGAGCTAGATGAGTCTTTGAAATGCTAAATGTCTGATTTCGCATTCACTCTTGATTTTTGGCAATAATTAGATTGGGCATGGTAGTCATTTCCTCAAAGCCTCACCTAGCATAGCGCTTTATGAGATAGATTGTGATTCTAATTATTCTAGCTCTTCCTTGCCTTTTAAAATGTTCAATTGATTTACATTTTGTCCTGTAGTGACCACTTCTTTTTCTTAAAGGTAAACTCTGCATACAACTTGGAAGAAGAGCTAATTTTGGTTTTCTGTCTGTTTTCTGTTTCCTAGACGTTCCCCCAGCAGAGCAGGAGAAGCTGTTCATCCAGAAGCTGCGTCAGTGCTGCGTCCTCTTTGATTTCGTCTCAGACCCCCTCAGCGACCTAAAATGGAAGGAGGTGAAACGAGCCGCTCTGAGCGAGATGGTGGAATATATCACCCACAACCGGAATGTCATCACAGAGCCCATCTACCCAGAAGTAGTCCATATGGTCAGTGTCATACACTCACAAAGCCATTTCATTTTCTCTTTAGAAATAACCGGGGATTTTTCTCAGATTGACTACTAACCAAGTTAACTGCTTATCATTCAAGTCACGTAAAGAAACTATTTCCATATTTTAACATAAGAAAATTACCATGAATTAAAACATTTTTTTATTATTTTCACTCCTATTTTATCTGGATTTGCTTTCAGTTTTGTTGGAGTCTGACTTTTCCTTTAAATTCAACTCAGGATTGTGACATGATTCCCAGATCTATCTTCCTAAATGTGTATATACATTTATTTAACTATTTTTATTTATATGTATGAAAATATTTAACCATTTTTTTCTGCTTCATAGTCAGTGTTTGTCATAAAAAGAAAAAGAAATCAAAAATAAAAAGCATCAACAGACACCTGCAGTTTCTAAGTAGAAACAGTCAATAATCTATTTTTGCCTAATATTATTTTATTTTTATTGCTGCTTTTATAACACAATTACATAGGACTACCTTTTTAAGTATTAAGCTAGGCAATGTTAATATTTTTGTGATGCCTTAATACTTAAAATGTATTTATTTTTGCTTTTTCTTATACTAACTAAAAAGTAAGAAACGGTAATATTAAATGCATATTGCAAAACGTTAAACTAGAGCTCAAAGCATTTATTGCACAGTAGCAATCCAGAAAGTTGACATTGTACCGGGTATTTGTATTTTAAGTATGTTTTAAGACACAGATCTGAGCCCTTGGTTTCTCGTTTCTAAGGGGTTGGAAAGTTCTCCTGCTCTGCCAGAACAACTGAGACAATCTATCCTCATTAGAAACAGTCAAAAGGGCAAAAATGGAGCCATCCTTAACTATTCTAGAACTCCATTTAAGAATATCCAAAACATACATTTATATTGGTGGGTCCCCAGCTTAATAATATCAAGTTTTTGTTTTGTTTTTGTAAAGATTAAAGCAGGGATAAAAAAATCATATTGTTTAAAGCAGGTTTTCCATAAAGAAAACTGAAAAAAAAAGTGTTGCTTTCAGCGGTAACCTTTCTGTAGTCTGACTAGCTCAGAGATATGTGGCAATGTGTGCTTGAGGTTTCAAATCGCAACAAGTGAAAAGCGTGGGTTAAGGTCCAAGTTTGTTTCTTTTTATTTTTGCAAGATGGAATGAGATGGTTTCTTCTTACAAACCCATTTATCTTTGTTTCTGTCTGCATAAAGTTCTGAGGCATTATAGTTTCCTTTCTTAGGGCATTTTCTTCACGTTCTAATAATAAGATTCTTTACATCGTAGCTTGTTTAGATTAGACTCTTTCATTCAAAGAAAACACAAAGATCAGTCTAATCAGTATTAGCCATAAGCCCCCTACTGCTGCATTAACCAGAAATATGTTCCTCTAAGGTTGGTGTCAGGATGCATCCACATGATCGGATTTGTTTCCCAAGCCAAATTAAAAATCCTTTGATGTTAATCAAAGCACTGATTCAATTCCACATTGTAAACTGCAGATGATCAAGGTGCAAATATCCCCTTGCTGTTGTTGAAACTCTATTTGATCAGTGCTGCTGGAAATTCAGCCGATCCGCCAAATCAGCATAGACATGTTCCCTTATTCCACCCTTATTCTGACCCCCTTAAAGACGAGGGCTTTTTGAAGTACTCTAATGGCTTTTATCATCAAAGTGAGGAGTGACACGACAAACTCCTTTATGGTAATAAAGTGTGTATTCTTATGTTAACATCGTACGAGTGGATTTCACACGAGGTCGTGGTGTTTAGGACATGGTTAAAGGCTCAGTATCAGATTAGACTTGCAGAACTTCAACAAAGATGCAAGTTAGTTTTTTCTTTTCTTTTTTTTTTCTTTTTCAAAAAGTTTTTTTCCACAGTTTATTGTTAACTTTTGGAATTGTTGATGTTAGAATTACAGACCTTCATTTTCAATATCCTTTGGATGGTTATCAGTCTGAAGATTAACCAGTTTGAAAAAGTTACACTTTTACAAAAGAAGCAAGTTAGCATCACTCTCCCTCATGGGTTAAAGTTCTGCTTCAGAAAGTAGCAGAGAGACGGGAGGTTTCTGTTTGTGAGGAGCTGAGTGGATCTGTACTCACCCCTCCTTACCTGTTTGGCCACATTACCATCACTCCTCTCTTTTGCTTACTGATAAAAGGCTGTTTAGAGAGTCGTGGCCCAAGAAACTATAGCGCTGCCAAACAACTGTTACTAAGGTGACGCTTTAATGAAAGTATGGTTGGTGGTTTATGAGTAAAGCTGGGTAGTGCAGGCTAGAAAACTTAGCAAACAGCCTGACTAATAACTGGCTAACAAAGTCCTGCAGTTAAACTGTATAGAGTTTGAGAGAAGAGGAATAACAACCTGCACATTTACATCATTTGTATTTAGTTTTCTGTTACTGTCTCCATTAATAGAGTAGTAATAATTTGATCTAATTACATTTCAACCTTATTCATAGTGTTATGTTGAAATCACAAACATGTTTTTTGGATTTTAATTTAAATGTGAGCATGCCCAGATTTTATGCAAACTTTGAGGGAACTTGTACAGAGTTGAAAAAATAAAGAAAATGTGAAATGGATGTGTTCCCATCCAATAAAGCAAATTAACAAAGTCAATTCAAAGTATAATGTTGTCATATGTTGACTTTAAGCTGTAGTAAACTGGAAGTAGTTAGCCAGCTAGCGCGGGACAAAAATCAGAGATGGACCGATTTTACTTACTTTAGCATGTCACCATTAGTGATGGTTAATGCCATCTGGAGACATCAGGGGGAGAAATAATGCTGTGTTCAAGAAATTTTCGCCTTATTCAAAAAATGTTTCTATTGTCTCTTTAGTGCATTTTACTCTTTTTTTCGATAGACAAAAACCACCTCAAGTGGGTGGTAAATACATTTTTATTTTCTTGCGAAATTTAGTAAGTTTTCTTAAATTTTGCTGTTTTCATCAAGTTAATCTAATTCAATACTTCAAAATACGCAATGAAAAGGTGGCCGGGTTGATGTGTCATGTGTCTCAACTTGGTAGAGACACGCCCACATTTTATTTTATTTTTTCCATTTTTAAAAAGGACTGAAGCTGCTGTATTTAATTAATGTTGGACTAAATATACATGCATAGTTGACTTTTTAACAACTTTTTATATTTAATGAACGACAAGTATATCATACAATCCATTTTAGTTAGGAGCTAATTTGTATTAAACTTTTGAATGGGCAAAACTGAATATTTAGGTAATCTTTTTCCATGATTGAAGAGTTTTTATTGTGTTTTTTGATTCATTGTTTCACTTCATGGGTGGCTTTTATAGACAACCTATTTATCCAGTGTAGAAACATTTCATTCAGAGCTAACGTTTACCACACCTCAGCTAAAGGAACAAAATGTAGAAAAGGCTATTGTAGGTTAACATGCAATTACAGTATTGATTTCTATGTTAGGGTAACTGATATTAATGGTCAGGTTTAGGATTTGTTCAGATACTCTTTTTAAAAGATAATGTGCTACAAATGAAGACCAGATGTTGAGCAGACCTTTTTTCTTTGTTTCCCCAGTTTGCTGTAAACATGTTTAGGACGTTGCCTCCTTCATCCAACCCCACTGGTGCAGAGTTTGACCCAGAAGAAGACGAGCCCACGTTGGAGGCAGCATGGCCACATCTACAGGTAACCAGAGTAAATAAAACATTGCTTAGAAAAAAACCTTATCAAGAATAAACTGGATGAATCAGCTGATTGTTTTCTGTCCACAGCTCGTGTATGAATTTTTCCTAAGGTTTCTAGAGTCGCCGGACTTCCAACCTAACATTGCCAAAAAGTATATTGACCAGAAGTTTGTAATGCAGGTGAGCACCTAGGATTATCAATGTGTAAGTCAGAATAGGTGCTGTAAACATTTGATCATGTTTTTTTGTTTTTACTTTCAGCTGTTGGAACTATTTGACAGCGAAGATCCCAGAGAAAGAGATTTTTTAAAGACAACTTTACATCGTATCTATGGCAAGTTCCTGGGTCTGCGAGCGTACATTAGGAAACAGATAAATAACATATTTTATACGTAAGTTTGCTTTAATTACTAAGCTTGGTTTTATGTTAATTTACTACAAAAAAAATATATATATATCTTCTTTTCTAGTTTCATTTATGAGACTGAGCGGCATAATGGGATAGCAGAACTACTGGAAATACTTGGCAGGTACGTTGTTGTATTTTGTTTTGTATGGTTAAAAATGTTTAGGCAAATTTAAGGATTTGGTTTTTGAAATTTTAGTTTTTATTGGGGAATACATTAAGTATGGAAAAAAATTTATATTAGACTTTACAGAATAAATGTTGAAATATCCATTCCTGAAAAAGTGTTTTAATATTGATGTTAATGGTTTCACATACATTTTATTATTATTTTTTTTTTATCACAACATATTCTAATTTGTTTACAGTTTTTATATCAATCAGTAGATGATAGAAAAATATTTAACTTAGCTTCAGAACCCTTTAGATCGTGTTTTAAAATGAGTCCAGGAGCTCATGATACCAAACACATTGCAGATCCAGACATAATAAACTGGGATTTCATCTATATTTAAAGTGGGATACTCCAGTTCACTTTGGAAAAGTTTAAAGTATCATACTTTTTTGTTTTTAAATAAACCTGGTGGGTGGTTTTATGAAGGCCAAACAAGCTGTGAATTTGCTCCTTATCACATTGCTGAATCTAAAGCCAGTATCAGCAAAGCACTGTTTCAGGAACTATGTAAAATGTGCATAGTTAGCACGTAAATGATATCTTCTCATCCAACTGCTTTAAAAAAAACCTGCAATGAAAGAACTTAAGAAATACTTAAAAAAATTGTTTTTTGTTTATCTAAAAATCGATATACTTGTTTTTTATTTGGCTCATAAATATATTCCTACATGTTCTAAATGACTGGTGTTTTTATTTCCAGCATAATCAACGGGTTTGCTTTGCCACTAAAAGAAGAGCACAAAATTTTTCTACTTAAAGTCCTTCTGCCTTTACACAAAGTCAAGTCTCTGAGTGTTTATCACCCACAGGTTAGTTCCCTCAGTTACACCTTTCTGTTTTCTGCTAACAAATCTTGGTCTGGCGTGTGAAATGGAGTGTTGTTTGTTTTTCAGCTGGCGTACTGCGTGGTTCAGTTCCTAGAGAAGGATAGCACCCTCACTGAGCCGGTAGGGTTGACCTTATTAATGCCAACTGCTTGTTTAGATTCCTCATTGGATTACCAATCAGATTATCATCCATATATCCCTACAGGGAAATCGCTCTATGTAAACAGGGAGCTCTTAAAGACATCTATAGAACCAAATAAATCTGGACAGAAATGTTTGGTTTCTGTGGTTACAATTGCTATTGAATATGCAGTGTCAGCCTTTTTTTATCTAGCAAAAATTCTTTTCTTTTTTTATTAATCCTTCTTTTTGCTGCTTACCCTATTTGTATCATAGCACTTCTGCCTGTTTTCAGTCTTCTATTTTTTTGGCTGGTCATTTTTTGTTGTTTTGAGGCTAAATTAGGCCTTTTTGTGATTTTTAGATGAAAAAAAATAACAAACTCTGTGGTAATGTGCATTTTTGCTACATAGAAGGCAAATTTCCAGATTTGTAGGAAAATAAAACTGATGCAACAAAGGACAGAATGTCCCCAACAGATAATCTCACTTTGATCAAATCTTTTTATTTGTGTTAAGATCCCGGAGCATGATGAAGGTGTAAATCCACTGCTAAACGAAGAAGCAACTTAGTGTTTCTTAGCTTGATCAGATAAATACAGTCATTCCTTTAATGGGAATGTTTTGTAAGAGATAAGTTCACTGCATAGCAAAACTGTAAAATAGGAGAACCCTTTTCTTCTCTGTTACATTGTTAAGTTGTTTACCTTTAAAACACATGTGCAGCTGTTTGTTTCCTCAGCACATGCTGTCATCCTCTAGTTGAACCTTCCAGTGTGTTTTCCTTTCAAATTGTGACACAGCACTATTATGTTTAGAAGTAGCCGTCTTTTTGGACATTTTCTGAGAGTGTGCTTAACTGAAGGTTTGTGATTGTGTTGCCTGAAAACTTTCATGTTACGAAAGAAGTATTTGGAGGCCACTCATGTTTCTGTTCTATTAATACAAGGTTGCAGCTAAAAGGCCTGTGTAGCAGTAGATTCACATTGTCCTTCTTATCAGTGCGGAAATGAATGCCGTAAAAAAAAAAGCAGAACTTCTCTGTTCAGGATAAAAAGTTTCACATTGTAGCACATTTTCTGCACATGCATTATACCTTTCATTCACTGCATGGCCACATTAATCCACATATAAATGAAGAATTCCTTTGTCTGATGCTGTGCTATGCAGTAAAACACGTTTTAGAAAAATGTTTTTATGCTCATTCTGTCCTTTTTATTATTAACTCAAAGATGTGGGAAGCTAAATGATATTCCTGTAGATTATGGAGGATTAAAACATGCAGATTATTCAAAAAACAGCAAGAGGTCACCCCAAATATCTAAACTGAAAAGCCTTTTTTTATTTAGGCGGAGCTAAATGTATGCTGGAGGCTTTAATATGTTTTAATACATTTTGTTTGACAATAATTGGCAAAAATACTCAGTGATTCAAATCCTATTTGGGTTTTCTTTGTTTTTAACAGTGATATTGTGAATCATGTATTATTGTGGATGTTTTCAATTTATCAAAAAACCAAAACAATAATATTTAGGTTATATCTGCCATCTGCTTTAAACTGATGATGTTATATTAAAGCTCAATCCTTGATATGATCCTAGTAAATATGTTGCCTTTGTTAGCTGTGCTCTTCTAATTGCGCCTGTGGATCTGCTTGTTTGTGTGTCTATGCAGACTGTTATGGCTCTGTTAAAGTACTGGCCAAAGACCCACAGTCCAAAGGAGGTGATGTTCCTCAATGAACTGGAGGAGATACTGGACGTTATTGAGCCCTCAGAGTTTGTCAAAGTCATGGAGCCTCTCTTCAGACAGCTCGCCAAGTGCGTGTCAAGCCCCCACTTTCAGGTCAGTGTCCTTTCTAGGCTACTTTGTTTTGGCTGGTCTAAGGCTCTTACTTTGTTTACGTAACACAACTATGGGACCAACTGTGTTGTTAGGTGGCTGAGCGAGCTCTGTACTACTGGAACAATGAGTACATCATGAGTCTGATCAGTGACAATGCCACCAAGATCCTTCCCATCATGTTTCCAGCCCTTTACCGCAATTCCAAGACCCACTGGAACAAGTAAGTCTGTGCACAGTCTTCTCCTGTGGTGAATCTGGGTTTGTTGTAGTCGCCTAATTGTGGGTAAAACAAGTGAGCCACAGGAATGTTTGTTTGCCCACAGGACAATCCACGGTTTGATCTACAACGCTCTGAAACTCTTTATGGAGATGAATCAGAAGCTGTTTGACGACTGCACCCAGCAGTTCAAAGCAGAGAAAAGCAAGTAAGTCATCAATGCAGAGATAACATTGATATTTAGAAGGCAGCTTGATTTATTTTGGTCTCATTACACAGTTGCATAAATCTTAGATCTCATTTAAATGTAATTAGCAGAATGTATAAGCTAAAACTTTCTGCACTACTTTGTCTGCTCATTATCTCAGAGAGAAAAGCAAATGGAAGGAGAGAGAAGACGCTTGGCTGAAGATTGAGAATCTTGCAAAATCAAACCCACAGGTGAGAGAAAACGCACCACAATATGGCCACAGAGTAGAGCTGTTTCTAAAGCTGCATCATCGAGTCACACATCCTTCAAATCCAACCCTCAGAACAATGCTTAAAAATGCAGATTTATTGGCAGGGAGGGATTTAGCTGAGTTTCCTTAGTGACTCTTTTTATTCATCTTCTGTGCAGTTTTTGGTGTACATTGACCCTCCAGGACCAGGCGGTCCAATGGACATGGAGACAGATGTGCCACTGATAGAAGATGTCAGTGTGTTAAAGAAAACAGTAGAGGAGGGAGCCACACAGGTCAGTGTGGGATGTAGCACTAAAGATGCTTATCTGGTTTTATAAAATCATTCTAAGACCATTTTCAGACGGTCAGGGAGCAGTTATCAGAGTAGTTTCTGCACGTCCAGGGCTTCAGTGATGCAGAGAATCATAAACTTCTCTTCTGAAAGCAAGCAAAGGTCACTACATAATCCTGGGATCGTTGCAGTGGGATTCTGTTTTAAATGTTAATGAATTGTATTAGATTTTCTGCTAATTTCACAAATCCAGATTAAAAACAAATTATTATTTAAGCTAAGGAGAGCTTAATGAAGGAAAACCAAGGCTTAGCTGAAGTGTTCCGCTTTGCAATGTCACAACCATAGTAATCAGGAAGTGAAACAAAATCTAACTTTGATATATGTATCTGTATTTAGGTCCCTTTACTCTTCTACCCTTAAATAAAATCTAGTGATACTATAATTGCTTTCTGAAATTACTCAACTGGTAGACAGCCCATCTGTCGGTGACTTACTACAGCTTTTCTGTGCAAACCCTAAAGGTATTGGCAGAAACTTGAAATAGCCCAGACTGGAATTGTATGCATGTAATTTGAAATGAAATGCATTACTTTGAAGGTGAATTTCTCTAAATGAATACTAAACTTAAAGGTTTGTAACTTGAATTTTTTTTTTACGTTCAGCTTTATAATTAACTTTCCTTGTGTCAGAAAACCGAGTCCTGGCGGCACACTATGCTAATTCAGCATCATTAGCTAATAACTGCAGTTTGCTGTGCCTAAGCCCATTTTATTCTTTTTTACATTCATGATACTTTGGCTTCATGATATCTACTAAGCTAATGAAGCTTTAAATGCCATAGAGTCAATTTAAGCTGATGTGAAACGTTAGTCTGTGAATCCATGTTTGATTACTCTGTGGCTTGAGGAGCAGGTCGTCTGACACGCAGAATTAATAATTTTTGTATTAAAGTTGAATAAAGAACTGAAACTAGAAAAAAAGCTAGTTTTTATGTGCAACAAAACACATTTTTAAAGTAAATTAATTTAATTTCAAACAAATTAATTCATTTTGTTTTGACAGATTATTTTTAAATGTTCTTCAAGTTGGACTAAGTTTGAACCTTTTTTTTTAAAGATCAGTTGGTGGTATAGATGCAAAATACTGCAAGTGAAAATGGTTCTGAGTCATTTTCACTACTTCTGAACGTTCCTTCATATAAATTCCACATTAAACTCAAATATAATAAGAAGCTGAGGGTCTGTGAGTACATTCGCAAGTCAGTGTGTTAAATCTGGCTTCCATGACAAAAATATCTGCATTCTTCTTTGATTTTTGCTCATCTGATTGTTCTCATTATGAAACATGATCTACTTTGCACAGCCAGTTTTTGCTGTGGCTTGTTTGTGCTCAACTGCATCATACAGGAAAGATGTGCTGTTAGCATTGACTGAAGCATTGCTGATAGATGTCAAGCAACCCTCTGTGCAGGAGCTAAATGCCTGCTGTGTTTTGTATCAGCGCTGGTATTACTGATGCTCGACTTTTGTGCGCAGGTCCTAAAAGAGCAACGCAGAGAACGCCCTTTAGTGAGGAGGAAATCAGAGCTTCCAAAAGACATCTCCACCGTCACAGCGTTGGAGTTGCACCGAAGAGCCGAGGAAATGTTGACCACTCACGATGCCCACTAAGAGACCATCCTTAAAATGTATTTAAAGAAAAAATAAAAACAAAGCGGCAGCACCCACAGAGGAACCACAGGCCCACAGAGGGCCAGCACAACAGAACTCTGGTGTCTTAGTGCAGCACAGTACAGAAAAGGGCAAGAAAACACCTGTCCCCGTTCATGTCTGAAGTGAAGCTACACATATAAGTAAGCTCTTAAAGGACGAGCAGTGCTCATCCTCCCTCACTTCCCAAACACCCCCAGCCCAGTTTCAGACTGCTGCAAAGCTGGACGCTCCCGCATGTCCAACAAGTCCAGATCTTTAGGGATATTTACAAACCGTGGGTTTCTCTCCTCCTTCCCTGTTCTTCCTTCCCCTCTGCTTGTGCTTTTCAGGGTACTGTGCTGCCCTCTTCTGGTCATTCTCAGGTGTTCTGTTCGGTGTGTAAGCTGTCTGATCTTCTTGCCTCGTATCTATAGATGTCAGGTGCTTGTTGATTAATATGAGCCCTATGCTACATTAGTTTAAAATAAGAAAAAAAAACAAACAAAAAACCTAATTTGGTGAAGCTAGTCAGCTGTTTATACATATATATATTTAATATTAGCTATTTTTCTCATAACATTTGGAAGGAAAAAAAAAACAGCTGTTTATATTTCTCCTTAAATAGTATGAGGAGCTTGTCTCTATATTTTAAAAAAGAAAACACATCTTTAATGTGTAACCATTTTGTTGGCTAATATGACGTTTTTCTGTCCATTAGTCATTCTCTAGATAAAGAAGCCCACCTGGGACAGACCAGGGTGCAATCATTACGCCGCCGTTGAATTTATAGGTTATTTTTCCCTCTTAAACATCTTTGTAAAAGAATTCTGTTTTGGTGCCAACGTCTTTCATTTTTATTGAAAAACTAGATGAGACGGCAATAAGTTGGCTCAGGTCTGACTTAAAAAGCTGCATCAGTAACAGCAGAGGTGGGATTTATTTATTTTAAGTTGTCCATTTGCACCCATTTAAACAACTAGTCATCCATGTGAGGCTTTTGAGAGGTTGCAGAGAAATCGTTTACGTGGGATCGACACATTTAACCCAGCAGAAACTTTGCAGATTGGTTGGATTTTGCTACAAAACTAGAGGTTAAAGAGGTATGTTTAGTTTCAAGCCTTTTTTCACAGTGCCTTTTGCCATCAGATGGGATATTTGCTGCAGATGAAGTATTAACTTGTAACTGACATGCCAGCTTATTGGAAAATGTACCATTAGTTTCTAAAGGAAAATCAGATGTGTGCCGGTTGGAGCACCTCATGCTGCTTGGACTCCAGCACACGCCGTGTCGAAGCCGTGTGGCCGAGAATGGAGGCAGTGCGGTCTCTCCCAAGCAAGCCTCTTCAGCAAATTAAGCACTTCCTGATAAAACTTGAAAGAAAATGGAAACAGTTAAAAAAAACTAGTGCAGAGTTGAAATCCGTAATGCTGTCTGTCTTGGCGTGAAGGGGTCCCCGCCCCACGGTGCCTGTCACGAAGAGCTCGCCTCCCATTACAACTCTTCCTCAACCGTCCCATTCCACGTTCAGTTTGAGTCGTATTCTGTCTGCTCACACCTGCCCCCCCCCCCTTCCTCAGTGATGAAATTAAAAACTAAAAACAGGAAGGTCTTCTGGATGCTCCCCGGTTCATTTGGTTGTGGATTTTCTCCTCCTTTGCCTGCAGAACCTTGTCAGTGTTTCAACTGAATGTGCAAATTGTAAATTATACTGAAAGTCACACTGTTCTGTTCTCTCCATGTCTGACCTGAAGAACAACAGCCACCAAAGGTGTGCACCAGCACCTCTCATATTGGATTTAAGGAGCGCAGTGATTGGTTCTCATATTGCTGCTGCAGCACTGCGACGGTGCCCTATTGGTGACTTTTGTTCTTAAAATGGCTTTAATACGGGCTTCTTTGGAGCTCTATTCATTTTACATAAGCTTTGTTTTTTTTTTTCTCTTTTAAAAGATTTTTTATTGCAAGTGTCCTTTAGTATTTGTCATACTAAATGGCTTCTTTGTACATATAATGTATTTTATGTTATATCTATTATTAGGTGGTAGATTTCATATTTTGTACAAACTACCCTGTGTACAGAATTCAGAGATTGTTAGCAACTGCAGACGGTTGGTATGTGGCGCAAAGTTCAACATGTTAACTATTTACAGTTAGAAAACGACTAGCAATTGGATCTTTCTTTTTGTTTTAATCTTTGTAACCCAGCATCTTTTCCTTTTAGATTTCTTTTTCCACATCCAGACATGTTTTGCTCCTCACATAAAGGAGATGTCTGTGCTTGCTTTTATCCAAAACCTGCAGTGGTGTATGTCTATCTATATAAGGCAAATAAAGAGAACGTGAGTTTTATATTTTCATCCTACAGATGGTCCTGTGAGTCTGACTTTTTGTCCACCTTTGTTTCACCTTCAGGTGCCCAAAGTGATATTATGAATCTTTTATCCTTGAATCCTGCTCCTATTATTGTCACCAAATATAATCTGTTGGCTGTTTTGTCAATCAGCCATCTACTCATTTTTAAATTATTCATTCTTTGACTAGTTTTTCCAGTCATCTGTTTTTTAATTTAATTTTATCTATGAAAGATCTGCCCTTTTATACCTAATATCTTCATTTAGCCACCATCCATTTATCCCGCTATCCATCTCTCCATGTTTTTGTCATTTTTCCTCCCAGTTATTTATTTAATATATACGTCTATTCATCCAACATCCCTCCATTTGTCCTCCATACCAATGTATTTCTATAAAAAGAACCCCACAAAACATTCATGTCTAAATACACATACTATAAAAAACGATTCTAAATAAAAAACAAAAGTATAATTGAAGCAGAGAAGAAAGAATCACTGTCCTTCCTTATCCAGCTATCATCAGCATCAGTCTGTTCCTTTATTTCAGTCCGATTCCTTCCTTTCTACCTAACAGACTTAAAGAAAGGCAAAAGGGAAAAAAAGCCTGAGAACTCTTGAAATTGTAAAAATGTAAAATCCGCAGGTACCCTTTTGTTTAAAAGGAAGCAAAACTAGTGGTGCTTTAACAAGTTTTATTGCAAAGAACAGATTATTATAGGTTGTTAAATTGTTTTCTCAGTCATAAACAACAGCAACAGCTAAAGGGATCTATTTACACACTAAAATAACTTCAAAATTCACCAGCAATATTCAGAAAATTCATAGATTTTGCTGCCCCCTGCTGGAAAGAAACACAATTGTAATTCCAACTCCAGCTTTTTCCCTCATTGCAATAGATGCTTTTAATACTCCAACCTATCAATCCAGACAAATATCCTTCAGTTTGTCCATCCAATGAAAAAGTTAGCCCACCCATATGAACTCAACCATCTCAAACTGCATCTCTCTTCAGTTCCTCTTGTATTTATTTTCCAGTTATTTTAATTATCATGAAAAAGTAAAAACATTTCCTCTGTTTTTCCTTTTTGTAATTCCAACCAGAAATTTCGATTTACTTCATTGGGATTAGGTAACCTGCACAAACAAGTTCATAAGTGTAAAAAGTGGAATCTAAAGAGCACAATATTCAACAACACTCTCAATGTTGTGTATTTGTACTTGGATCCAGTAAATCAATACTTTTTTAAACTGCCCTTCACTGTAGCTGCAGCTTCAAGTCTTTTATCACATGTCCTTGAACATTTCCCATTTAGAGACCTGAAAACACTCCAGGTTCAGTCAGATTGCATAGGGAACATGTTATATCAGTTTCCAGGAATCGTCACAGGTGCCTTTGACTAAAAACCATTCTGTTAGCTTTTTGCAGCTTGTTTTGCTGAAAGCAACACCTTCCTCAAGTCTGTGGCAGTCTCCTTATTTACGTACTTATAGCTTTCTTTAATGTTTGTTTTTCCCCTTAGCACTGTTACATAAAGGCAGGATTTCTGCAGCTCCTGCAGATTAAAGCAAAACATTTGTTTTTAGTTGCTAAGGGCCTGACAATTATTACATACCCTGACTTTAAGAGTTATAAATTTAAACAATAATTTGAAAATCCTCACTTTTTCTTAATTTCAGGGCTGTGTGCTTCACTGTGCTGGTTTATTAATAAAACTCCCAATTGAATAACTCTCACTCTATGCTTCTTATTGCTTTCCCTTCAGTTGACTCTTAGAAGATTACTGATCTTAAGTGATATAATATAAACAGCTACATTTCCCCTGCAGCATTACCTGCAGGACATGGTGTATTTCTTCATTTGCAGGAGATGTTGCCATGTGCTATCATAAGCTGTTAATTTGCAGAAACACTCCAAATTGTCTCTACTGAGGTCATCAAAGTTCCTCTATCTGAAAGTAGCAGTGAGAGTATACACCCTCCCTCCCGGTTTACTGTCTAGCACCCCTGCTGGCATCTGCGCTGAACCTAAGTGAACCTGTAGGGGGATTTGGGCAACAAATAGACATTCCCCCTATCTTTGCCCAGTGATAGAGATATGATGATGCATCAGTGGGGGTGGAGGGTGGGGGCAACTGCGTCAGCAATTGATTTAATCTTTGATCAGGCCAATTCTTGTCTGCTGCCCATTTTCATTGGCACGTTTGTGTTTATTGCTGAATCAAAACCTGATTCTATATTTGCTTTAAGAGGACAAACAGTGAAGCATAATAGACCTCGCTCCTGAATGCCTTCTCTAATGAGGATGCCACGCTGTCCCTCCCCATCACGAATAAAACAAGTTGCCTCATTATCAACACATTGTACTCCAATTATCTAAGAGGAAATATTCCTCCAGGCTGGATGCATCATTGAAAATCAAAATACGTCAGTGTTTTTTTTTGGTGGGTGGTTAAAAAGGCTCTGTGTATCCCTCCCTCTCCGCTCAGACAAGGTCACATGGGTGCACAGAATTCGCCTGCAGTCGTAGAGCGGTACACTGCCTCTCCAAGTCAAATATGATGGCTCGCTTTTTTTCCTTCTCGTTTGATCTGGATGTTCTGACGGCCTTCTTGACTTGTCAGTGTTCAGATCTCTCCTGCTCGACCCCTTTTCCCTCCCTCCGCTGGTGCTTTGCAACCAAAAAAAAAAATCCCATCACTACAGGAGATGTCAGAACCTATTGCCATGGAAACAGTACTCAAAAGTTTGGAACATCAACCCCTATTGTATCTACATCCAATCAGCTTTTAGGGAACACTTTGAGTGCTGTATGACTTAGGCCTGAAGTCTGTCTTCTTTGAATACATCTGTGTGGACCTAAGGCAGTGTCTGAGTGGGGAGTCTGTGTGTGTGTGTGTGTGTGTGTGTGTGTGTGTGTGTGGTGGTTCATAAGGAAATTAGAAGCCAGAAAATGACTCATCACCCCTCATGGGGTTGGGGTCTGTGATCCAGCTCTTAATCTTTGCTCACGCTCAGACTCTCTGCAGCGCCTCAAGTCTTTAACGGAGTCACACCTTCCTCCCTAACCTGTCTCCCCCCCTGGGGAAGGGGGACCGGGGTGCAGGACAGTCCTGTTTTCTTTTGAAGACAGAAATTCTGCATCAAAGTCCTCTGCATCAAAGCAGAAGACTTAGAATGAGCAGCATCCCAGATTCCAGCCTCACACACACACACACCCCGTTGCTATCCTTACAGGGACTTTGTGTTGACTTTTATGTGTAATAGTTTAGTGGTCCCCACAAAATTGGCCTTCCTCTATCCCCACAAGGTAACATACACAGCTTTCATCATACAAATCCATTTCTCTTTGGATTTACCCAGTTTTAACAGGCTCTGCTCTCTAACAGGTTATGAAACAGGACACAGCTGATGAAATGCATCACCGGAGAGAAATCACTGCAGTGGTTGAAGTCAAACCTTATGATAAGGTTGATGTTTTTATCTCATTTTAAAACACTACAGCAGTTATAACTATTTTTTTTCCTCTGTCCTTTTTGAATGAATGAATGAATGAATGAAAGTTACTTCAGAAAATTAACAAATACAAAAAATAATAATAGATAAATCAATTTCAGAAAATATTTGTGACAAACGACTTTATACTATACTAAAAAAGTGATTGATTACAGGTTGAATATTAAAATAAATTACATTTTCAATTCCAAATCACTTAAATTCATTTGAACACAGACAAAAGCTTATAAAATAAACAAAATGTTCCACTTGCCATAAACTTGCTTGTATATGTAGCCTGACATTGATTATTGATTCATTTATGATTATTGATTTTTAGTTCATTTTAATTGTCTGAAAAGGGGTATGAAGAAGTACAACTTATTTTACATACCCCTTCTCCCTCTAATTAGAATTAAAGTAACTTAAGTGACCTTACTATTTAAGTTCTCTGTTTTTGGATTAAAATTTCACAATAAAAAAATAGACAAACTTGTTATTCTGTTTGGTTTTTAATGAATAAAACCAATTTCTTACTTCGTTTTTTATTTTTTGTTTAAGTCCTTTGTTGTGGCCTTTCATGTAAACATTTTTTTTAAATCACATGTTCCTTTTAGATTTCTGTTTATTTTTATTTTGTAGAAAGAATATTTTTAACTTCCTTTGTAACCAAGATCTATCATTTGTATATTTGGAATTATTTTAATCACTGATCAATTTTAGACCAGCCCATTATTTTAGAAGATTAGGAACAAACGGAGAGGATGGAAGATATTTTTTTGGTTTTTGTTCAAATGTCTGGTTTGAGGACTGGAGATGGTTTTTAAGTTTGATCATTTTTTGAAGGCTGTAACAGCAAATTAAGTAAACTTTTGTTTTTATTTCAACTGTAAGATATTTTAGTTATATTCTGTCTTAATTATAATTTTTTTTGTTTGCTGGAAATAAATAACATATTTTTCCAAGTCAGATGTGCGTATATGAAACACCATCTGTTGCCACGAACGTCCTTCAGAAGAATGTTGGTTTTGCAACATGGAAGGCCACTTAACTTACAACTTCCCTATTTATCTTGTTTTATAGTTTTACATTTTGTCAAATTACAACCATGTATGATGCAAACAACATAAAATGCCTTAAAAAAACTTTTTCTGATCACAGCTTTCCGATGGTAAAGCATGGCAGTGGCAGCATTATGCTGAAGGAAGTCTTTTCTACAGCAGTGACAATCAGGCTGATTAAAGTTGATTGGGAAGATAGTTAGATCTCTAGTGAGGAATTGTGAAAGAAAACTGTTAGAGCACTAATTCCCAAAGTTTGGCTTGTGACACCACTTGGGGTTTTCAAATTACCACTATGGGGGATAGAGATCATTACTGAAATGAAACTAAGGAATTAGCATTTATATTTAAGTGCTTAAAGACCAATGCATTATTTGATTTTT